TTTCTAATAAATTCCGAGATATTTGACGGAATACTAAAAAAAAAAGGGCCGAAGAAATTGAGCCATAAAGAACCGAAAATTCCACTCCGGCCTCTACAAGGGTGGTCGGCCAGGGCCTCTTCATTTCGGACATTTTCAAGCCGATGCACGTGACGTCTGTTTTCTATCTCGAAGCAGTGGGTACCCTGGCAATAAATTAACGGGCTACGGCGCCTTGGAGAAACTGCGCGACGGTTCTTCCCTTGCACTTCTGCAAAGCACGTGTTATCCTAGAACCGTTGGTTTCGTTTTACCTAAATCTTGTCGTGGTGAGAGTGAACTCACAATGTAACGATGGGAAACTACTTGGGGGTAGAGGAAGCCCTTTCGGAAAAATTCTGTCAGTCGGTTAGCAATCGGGCGACAGAGATGTTCAGTTCACGGGAGTATTACGGAATCTTATGGTGGTACGTACACAATAACAGATATGCGGATGTTGGTGTGCAAGTGTTTGGTTACGTAAATCATCTGAAAAATTGAAACCAATCGGCCCTTTCTGGGGATACGAATTTTCCTTACGTAGTAACAACACGTTGGATTAAAAATACATTAAGTGATTGTGTCGGGTGATCAGTGTTAGTGCAGTGCAGTGAAGTGAATACATATTCGATGGATTAACCCGGCGGCACTTGACGTTGCAACTCTTAACGTCGGCTGGTGTCGCATACCTGCGATCACCAGTGGCATGGACTCTACCCTGCCATAAACCATTTCGTCCGTCGATGCCCAGGCTCGGTACACTGACCTACTGACGCAGGTTTCTACGCTGCAGGTGAATTTCCGTAAGGGTGACTTCTATTAAGTTTATTGGTCATTATTGTTTTATTAATTTCATCGAACTACAATCACTTCTCGTTTATTTTCTGTTACATTACCTTTTCGTTCACACGTTATTTGAAAAAGAAATTTACAAATTCGTAAAAAGGAATTTACAAAAATGTAAATGTGCATTCGTCTTTTTACGTTATACATAATTTGTCTACATTTACGTTTCATTCATTAATCTCTTTAAATAACAAACGACAAATGATAAAAAGTATGATTTTATTTGTTACGTCTTGTTTATTTGCTATTATTATACGCGGTTTCCTGCGATGCATGGTGACCTACTTGTTCGGAGCATCGTAGTACAAGCGTAGCGCGTAGCCACCGCTAGCGCGGGAACTCGGCTGGCAAACTCGCGCTCTGATTGGTCGCGGTTTTTCGTTAATATCTCGTAAACGAAGCCTCAGTTTAAATTTTTGCTAAGGAAAAAGTTGTTCCAATTCACCTCTCGAGTGCCACATTTCCGGGTCGGAGGACATTTTTGGGACACCCTGTATACAGGGTGTCCCCAAAATGTCGTCCGACCCGGAAATGGGGCACTCGGGGGGTGAATTGGAACAACTTTTTCCTTACCAACAATGTAATCTTGAGGCTTCGTTACCGAGATATTAACGAAAAATCGCGACCAATCAGAGCACGAGTTTGCCAGCCGAGTTCCCGCGCTTGCGGTGGCTACGCTCTACGCTTGTACTACGAAGCTCCAAACAAGTAGGTCAGGATGCATCGCAGGAAACTGCGTATAATAGCAAATAAAAAAAACGTAACAAATAAAATCATACTTTTTATCATCTGCCGTTTGTTATTTAAAGAGATTAATGAATGAAATGTAATTGTAGGCAAATTATGTGTAACGTAAAAAGACGAATGCACATTTACTTTTTTGTAAATTCCTTTTTACGAATTTGTAAATTTCCTTTTCAAATAACGTATGACCGAAAAGGTAATGCAACTGTTCGCGCCCGCAATGTTTCAGAATGTTGGAGATGCACAGAATATACGATGTGGCAAATGGTTACACAAACTCGGACTACAAATGAGGAAACTTGGTTCAACAAAAAACTAGTGGACTGTATTTATTTAACAACTTTAGACGCGTGACTATTCAGGGGCTGTCCCTGCTCAAAGAAAACAAGACTATGACTTATAACAAACAATTAACAATTAGCTTCCGCCAGTCACACCGAATGTTCAATGAGAGATCGATGTTTCTCCCGTGGAGTACTGATTGATTTTCCCAAAATTCTTAAGACTAAGGTTTAAGAATTTTTCACTCCTCGGTGAAGCGCTTTGCCCCCCCCCCCTCCCCACTCACAGTGCGCCCTCAGCGCATTTCTTCCTGAGGGTGGAAATGTGAATACACGCCAGGGTGGACGACAGTTTGGCAACGTTGGGGACTTTCCTCCAGGTAACGTACGCGAGGCTCCCTGCGAGCTGAGGAACGAACAACAACAGCGTCCCGTTACCCTTCGGAAAGCCTTGGTTTATGACATGGAGCGGTAACTAATTTGGCGCTAGAGTGCCTAAAACTGCTGGTATTATAAACCAAGTCTTTACAAACTTTCACTCACCTCATCGTGCCATAAACCAATCCCTGGAACACCGTGTTCCAGAACATGCCGCCCACCTTGAACGGCTCTCGTTCAAATACTATATCTAATAACAAAAATGCACTAAACTATGTACATGTTAGAAACTTTATATTGACGCCTCGGTTTTTTAAAGGAGATCTGTATTCCTCAAAGGTTCTGGGGTAAGTGCCGTGTCTTTTGACACAGTCCTCTTGCCAGAGAGTCCCCCGACTCTCCCCACTCCGTGGCCAGATCCTTTATTCCAAATATTTTATCGCATGCGCTTCGTTAGCGACCGGCAACAGGGCGTCGGGCCCTTTGCCGTCACGCAATACCCGGACGTCGAAGCCGCGAGGAATCAACAAAGTATCGCCACTCGAGCCGCCACAGAACCTAAACGCCCGATGTTATGTTTAAGGTTCCGGCTATTGGCGATACAATCTGCTCTCAAGAAGCCGACGCCACGTGCATCTCCCTTCATAAAGGAATCGACGCTAACATACATGAATCACTAATCTAACGCTACATGAAATTTCGATTAGAAAACTATACAGCAACTTAATCCTATTTATACCATTACAAGTTACAACAATATCATAACGTTAAATCTAGCGGAGTGATGTACATGTACAGATATGGCAGGTTCCATAACACTCTTTTAAAGAGTCGCGTTATGATCGGATGATCCTCCGGGTTCAGCTTGGGTTGCTGAGATTCCTTCGTCCCGGGGTAGAACACAAATCTTTGTGACCGGCCGCTTCACAGGTCCATTGGCTGTCTGTATAGACACGACCCTGGTTATGTAGTCCGCACCGAGATGAAGCGCCGTGATTCGGCCCAGCATCCATCGCAAGGGAGGAAGATTGTCCGCCTTGAGAACCACCATGGTTCCCACTCCAAACTGGTCCGGAATGTCAAGCTTCCATTTGTTTCGTTATTGCAAATGGTGGAGGTATTCATGTTGCCATCGTTTCCAGAAATGCTGATACATCGCCTGCAGGAACTGAAACCGGCTTAAGCGATTTACCTTGACGTCAGTGACCTCAGGATAAGAGATATCAGTCAATGGGCCTCCTGTAAGGAAATGCCCAGGAGTCAAAGGATTCAAGTCTGAAGGATCGGTTGGCATAGGATATAGTGGCCGAGAATTCATACACCCTTCAATTTGCGTCAACACCGTATATAATTCCTCGAAAGTCAAACGTGTCTCTCCAATCACTCTCAACAAATGACGCTTCGCGGATTTCACGGAATTTTCCCACAGTCCGCCAAAATGCGGAGCGTGGGGAGGAATGAAGTACCAATTTATCCCTTCGGTTAATGCGAATTCAGAAATGCACCGCTGATTTGACTCATTCAAAAAAAAACCTTGCAATCGCTGCATTTCAGTGCGTGCTCCTACGAAATTTGTCCCATTATCCGAGTATAGATCCCGGTATCGCCCCCTGCGAGCGATAAAACGTTTTAGACAATTCAGGAATGCATCTGTCGTTAAATCTATCGTCAGCTCTAAATGAACGACTTTCGTTACCATACACACGAATAGGTATAAATACGCTTTCGTAACCGTTTTACTGCGCGTCCGGTCCTTTACATAAAAGGGCCCTGCATAATCTACTCCAGTGCAAAAAAAGTGGAGCTCTGACTCGGACTCGTGCCGCAGGTAGTTGACCCATCAAGTAAACAACACCTTTTGGGTTTGTCCTACTGCATCTTATGCAAGTCCGTAAGACACCCTTTATGATGCTTCGGCCTGCCAGTGGCCAATATCGCCTCCGAATCGCTGATAAAACCGCTTCACATCCAGCGTGTAAACTATGTTCATGTTCGTGACGAATTATTGTTCGAGTAATTGGACTGTCCTTCGGCAAAATCACAGGATATTGCTGCTCGTATCTCATTTCGGCATTGCTAAGCCTACCACCCACCCTGAGGAGTCCTTTGTCGTCTAGAAACGGATTTAAACAGCGTAACGTGCTAGTATTGCCGACCACTTTGCCTAAACGCAGGTCTAATAGTTCTCGACCGAATGCTTGTTTATGAACCATTCTAAGGATGGCATCCTCGGCCAAATCTAAGTTCCTAATTGATAATTTACCAACCGATTCCGGAGATCTACTTGTCTGATCGTTCGTAGAAGCACCCGAAGCATCCCTATTACTTTTACGGTTATGAGTATTACGATAGAAACGTAAACAATACGCAACCACCCGAATTAATCGCGCGTAGTTCGAAAATCGTGTCAGGAGGCTACAATTGGTGTCTGTCTCTCCCTTGCGGACAGTATACACTACGGCCCTTCCCTCTGGCAACTCAATAGGCAATTGTCCAGTGACCAGCCACTCGGCTGGATATTCTTAAAGCCACAATGGACCGTTCCACCAAAGACATAAGTCTTGGAAAGCGGACGACCGTATTCCTCGTGACAAGAGATCTGCAGGATTTTGAGCGGATCCTACATGACGCCAGGTGCCCCGTGATAGATATTGAATCTCCGTAACCCGATTCGCGACAAACGTCTTCCATTGATTAGGAGATCCCTTAACCCAGGCTAGCGTGATTATGGAATCACTCCAATAAAACTCCCGAGCTATAACAATCCGAGAAGCAGTTCGCACCTTGTCGACTAATTGCATTTAAAAAAGCCCCGTAATGTTCTAGTCGCGGCAGACTTATTGTGTTGAGGGGTGCCACTCGTGACTTGCCGCACAATAACCTAGCTGTACCATTACCCCTACCGTCGACCGTGCGCAGGTAAACACAAGCACCGTAGGCCTTCTGAGAGGCATCACAGAACCCGTGAATTTCTACCTGCGTAGAATTCGGACGTACTACGAGTCGGGGAATCGCGACCCGCCTTAATGACTGTAAATCCGATTGAAAATCCCGGAATTCGGCATGAATCATTGGTGGAACAGATTCATCCCAGGAAACCTTCGATTGCCACAGCAACTGTATCAATAATTTTGCCCTCATGACTACTGGGCCCACTAAACCGAGTGGATCGAATATTCTCGCGAATTCCGATAATATTACGCGTTTCGTTACCCGTGTCGTGATCCTATCTTTTATGGCTACCCGCAACTCATCGGCCAGTGGGCCCCACAACATTCCAAGGGTTCTCGGATCCTTATCAGCCTGCGACACGATGCCCTTCGGTTCGTCTGACACCGAGTTAACCACTGTTGGCTCGTTTGATGCCCATTTACGTAATTCAAAACCCGCTTCTCGTAGCAGTCTACTGACGTCCCGTTTAAAGATTTTAGCCTGCTCTATCGTGTCCGTGCCCGTTAGCAAATCGTCAACATAAAAATCCTGCATGATTATGTGACTCACGATTGGGTACGTATCGATGTTGTCTAACCCGACCTGCCGCAATACACGAGTGGCCAAAAACGGAGCTGACGCAGTACCATACGTAACCGTGTTCAGTTCGTATGTCACAATTGGCTGCGTGGGTTCTTCTCGCCATAAGATACGTTGAAGACAACGTTGCTCGGGCGTTATCATAATTTGCCGATACATCTTCGCGATGTCAGCATTTAGCACTACTGGAAATTGCCGGAAACGAATTAAAATCGAAATTAGATCGTCCTGAACTACTGGACCGACACGCTGTATTTCGTTTAATGATACTCCCGTGGACGTCTTTGCAGACCCGTCGGAAACTACCCGCACCTTTGTTGTGGTGCTTGTCTCCTTCATCACGGCGTGGTGCGGCAGGTAATAAACCGGATTCGCAACCGAACGACCATCCCGAGGTACCTTCGTTATGTGCCCTAATCTTTCATACTCTCGCATAAATTCGTGATATTCTTGTCTTAAGGGGAATGACCTACTCAACTTCCTTTCTATATTAAGGAACCTCCGCTCGGCCATGTTGAAGGAATCGCCAAGATCCCGGAGACCGTCGGCGAATGGAATCGTCACCATGTATCGCCCGTCCCTGTTTCGTCCGACCGAAGTTTGACTCGGGCGCGGAAAAACCGAGAACCGGACCGCCCCTCCGCCGCTCCCTGCCTGCACGTAAATAGTATCGAAGCGCTCCTGGAGGATTTGTAGGGGAGTAATACCGTTAGGATTTGTATTAACCATGTGGTTATCTCGCGCCGAGTATCGCTCGCGATTACAGGGCCGTCACGATAGGGGTCAAGGCAGGGCCAAAGACGCAATATCGCCCGTACCCACCGACTCTGCTACAGGGACCGCCCCGGAATCCCGTCGAGCGGCCGCTCGACCGGATAAGGGTCCTATCCCAGGGGGATAGGACAGGAGGAAAAAGGGGCCTGCTCTCGCATCGAGCCTGAGCTTCGAGAGGCGCTTGGTCGGCCGAGGGGGCAACAGGAAACCACCCACCGGATAAGGATCGGCGACCCGGACGTCTTCCTCCGCAAAAGGACCCCACGATGGAGGAGTCAGAGGGCAGGGAACCCGTGAGGAGTCGCAGCAACCACGTAGGAGGGTGTCAGACTGGGCTCCTCACATAAGGGAAGCGATCTCCGTGGCCAGGGGATCCTTCCTTGGCGTGCCGTCCCTGGGCCGAAGGAGCATGGCTCCACAGGAGTCACGGGGCGGGGGGGTACGAGGGGCAATAGGACTGCGTAGTGGGGGGCCCGCTAGATCCTCGCGTCGCGTAACGAGCCCCGAAATCGTCACTTGAGTGGCCCGTATTACTGTGGAAGGTCGAGTTTTATTGTATCGCGCATGCACAGGAATCCGGAAAGGAGCGAGACGGCCCGGAGAAATATCGTCACTTGTAAGTGAGCTCTCTCTTCTGTTCTCACAAGGCAATCTAGATCTCGTTAGCCTGATTATGTCGCGATCGGAGAACTAATATCGTATCTCGCTAGCGCGCGCGGGAGAACCACGGCGGTTTCTCGGGAATAGTAATATCGTAATTCCGGGCAGCTTTCCTCCAGGACGCAGAAGTTACGCGACTGCCGCTCAAGTCATTGTATCGTATTATGTTATCGGCGGTATCGTAGTACCGTCCGACCGCGCCTCTGTAAATTTCGTATTAAACATCTCGAGCGGTCGGGGACCGTGTAATAACGAAAGGTAGAATCTCATACCGGAATCCGGTGATAGCGAAGGCGCGGGCCGCAACGATAGTCGACCGCCGCATTGTTTGTCTTTCCGTCAATAAGCCACCAACAACTGTTGTAACGCGGTCTCGTCCGTGGCCGGCGAAAGAAACGGAAATAAATTGTTATTCGTTTTGTTAACTCCTTCTGAACGTTTCTTTTTCGTGTCTGTGTCGTCCGACGGGAATCCTTGTCGCGAGGGAAGTCTGTCGTTACGATATTTGCGAACCCTGGAAACCCTCGTCTTGTGAACATTCGGTGGAGGGTGCTTTCTCCTCGGTCGTTCGGTAGAGTTCAACCCCTCGGTAGGGGCAGGTTTCGGTCCGATACTCGGGGAGTATCGGTCGGTACGGGAAAACGTACCTGGCGCCCGGAAAATCGATCGGAGGGATTCGCGGGGACGCGAACGGAGGCGGAGACCGGGGGGAACGCACTTTGTTCGTTCCGTGTTTTGGCCGCGCGACCGGCCGAAATCGCGAGTAACGTAACAGTGTGTTTTTTTTGTGTGTGGTTATTATTAATAAAAATAATAATGGCGCCAAATGAGGCATCCCCTCTTGATGAGCTGGTTCGTCAGGTATTGGAAAAAATTGTTAAATTTTTGTTAAATAATTGTTAATTCTTCTACTCCTGTTCCTGTGGGAGCGATGCCGCAGTTTAGTGGGGCCGATTTGGGCGATGTTCGGGATTACGCAGTGACGTCAGCCGCGCTGGCTGTTGCTCGTGACACGCGGATCACGTACGCAGCGTCTTCGGTAATCGTCGACCGAATTCCGCGATTACCGGCTCGCGCGTCTCTAACCGCGCGCTATCGTTGCCTGGGCCGTCTGTAGGTCGCCTCGTATGATCAACACGCCGTCCTTGTCGCACTAACTCGTGTCTTTGTGCGACAAGTGTGTTCCTTGTCGCTCTCACCGACTGTTGCCATGCGAGGTGCCTACGTGACTGTTTGACCCAGCAACCGAACTGGATTACCGTTAATCCAACGGTAATCCGGCAGTCGCTAATTAGCCACCGTGATAAACGTACTCATTCTTTGACGCGTCTTATCCTAATCCCACATCGTAAAAGTTCTTCTTGAACCCGGGCGGCCTGAAATTAAGCTAATAAGCGTATTCATTGTATAATCGTTTATTGTTGAAGTATTGTTATATTTAAACTGTGTTTCGTAAACAGTGTCTGTTAATAAACGTTGTTACTCGTCCACAAGAGAGTGCAAGCCTTACAAGCTTTATTCGCCCCACTCTTTTGTACAGGCGACGACGCAAATCTGTGGTGTAGCAGGGTGGAGGAGTTAACAAAAGATGTGCCGCACCAGAGATTAAGTCTCGCAACTCATGCGCTTGTTGGTCCAGCGAAGAAGTAGTATCAGGGATGGGAAGCACAATTGTCTACGTGGGAAAAATTCCGAGAAGATTTGTGCGCAATGTTTGTGTCTGAGAGGAAGTTACACGACCGTCTTTTGCGTGCATTACAATACGCTAGTGACGTAGTTAGTTATGCTGAATACGCACGTACAAAACTGACGTATTTAAAACAAACGAGGGTTTCATTTTCTACCGCCAAATTTATCGAACTTATTGTAACTACTAGTACCGACCCAAATGTGCGGCAGGCGATGTTGAACGCACGATATAATACCACGTCGGATTTACTTGTGGGGATATCCGAATACAAGAAGATTCCTCGAGAAAAGGAGGAACAACACGAAGCAGAGAGAGAGCACGTCCTTTATATCGAAAGCGTTGTTAAACCTGTGACACTGTGGGCCATACGTCTTGACAGTGTACCAAGAAACCGCGGTTGGATAGGGAACGTAGCCCTTTGAGACGGAATTCGCCGAAACGACACTCCCCAAAACGAAGTCCATCAAGGCGAGTTGTTACCTGCACTTATTGTTCCAAGCGGGGACACGAGGAGATAAACTGCTGGGCGAAAAGACGTGCAACCTGTGAGGGCCAGGTAGCGAAGAAGCCGGATATGAATGACGGAAAGCACCAGATGAATGTCTGTTATTCCGTCGACCATAAATTGACACCTGTCGTGATACGCGATATTCTGGTTCGCGATAGTTTAATAGACAGTGGAGCAACGTGTTCTTTAATTAAAGAACGAGTAGTCAGACGAGCTAATTGTAAAACAAACTCGTATACAACAACGATACGGGGCATTTCGGACTCTACTGTAAAGACTGTCGGTAGTACGACTGTTGTGATAGAAGTGGATGGATTGTCGTTGGAGGTTGATTTATTTGTTGTGCCGGATGAGTTTGTTCCATACGACCTTATCGTTGGGAAAAATGTTTTGAGTTGTGATGGGTTACGGGTGGTAACAGATTCGGACGGGACAACGAAACTTGAACGCGTCGGAGAAAAATCGGAACGGTGGAGGACCATCCGACCCGATGTGCTGTGTTTTGGGGGAGGTAGCCGAGGAGGCTCGTAGCGGCTTAAGAGAACTGCTGGAACGACATAAGGACATGATTGCAGTAGGGAGTAACGTTCGATGCGTGAGTACAGGGCAAATGAAAATTGCTACAAAAGAGGACCGAGCGGTGAGTTACCATCCTTATCGTTTGTCTATTTCGGAGCGAGAGAAGGTTCGTGAAATAATTTCTGATTTAATGACGAACGGGATTATTCGTGAGAGTACGTCTTCATATGCGAGTCCCATCATTCTTGTTAAAAAGACGAACGGTGTTTCGAAACGGGCGGATTGCCGCAAATTTCGATTGAAAATCGCTGGGATCGCTCAGCGCTGAGCGTGGAGGTGGAAGGAGGACTCTTGTTCGAGTCCAGAAAAACACACGTGAAATTATGAGAATTGACCGAACACTTGAAACGTTTATTGGACGATATACAATATTTAAGACGGAATGAGAACTCGATGCGCGTTCGATATGATTTGTTGGCTGATCGCAACAAAGATGAGTTTGTGAGAATGACGCGAGGCACGTGCAGTTTTTCGCGTGTGAACCGTACCGGTATTCTTCCAGTTCTGCTGGGCTATCGGCGCAGGACAACACGTGAGCACCGAGAGTCCTTTTTTGCACACCTCGGTGATTTGCGGTTAGACATCGCGCAATACAGGTGCGTGTTATGATTGGTTTCGCCGAATTCGCGTGATATTTCGTGGAACGAGCAGCGCGATGGAATCTCGCGAGACCTCGTCCACACTCAGGAAACCTCGGCCGCGCGACGGTGCGCGAGCGCGTTGATTGAATTCCAAACATACCGCCCGCCTTGAAACGCCAGTTTCAAAACTATATCGAAGGGGGAATAAAACGCCACGATACTTGGTCGCCGGCCGTTTTATTCAGAAATGTAGGATCGCGGAGCGCGGCACGGTATGCGAGAGTCATTTCCTTTTCGGCGCCAACGAAAGTTGTCCCGTTATCGGAATAGAGAGTGGACGGGAGTCCGCGACGAGAACAAAATCGCGAAAAGGCATTACGGAATGCGGACGAGGAATAATCGCCAACGAGCTCCAAATGAATGGCGCGGGTGGAGAGACAAACGAAAAGCGCGATATACGCTTTACGTGAAGTAATGCCGCGTCCGGCGGAGGCGCGGATCCTGACGGGCCCAGCATAATCGAGACCGCAATGCAGGAAGCATCGAGCGGGGGGTGTGACGCGGATGGAGGGTAAGTCCCCCATAATTTGTTCGGGGACTTGCGCGCGAGCGCGAACACACGCGATACATTGGTGTATAATGTTCTTCACCAGAGTGCGAGCGCGCAAAATCCAAAAATCGAGTCGCAGGGTGCTCAATGTAAGCTGCAGTCCTCCGTGAA